GGATTAAGAAAATGTGGCACATATACACCATGGAATACTATGAAGCCATAAAAAAGGATGAGTTTGTGTCCTTTGTAGGGACATGGATGCAGCTGGAAACCATCATTCTCAGCAAACTATCTCAAGAACAGAAAACTAAACACTGCATGTTCTCACTCATAGTTGAGAACTGAACAATGAGATCACTTGGACTCGGGAAGGGGAACATCACACACCGGGGCCTATCATGGGGAGAGGGGAGGGGAGGAGGGTTTGCATTGGGAGTTATACCTGATGTAAATGACGAGTTGATGGGTGCTGACGAGTTGATGGGTGCAGCACAGCAACGTGGCACAAGTATACATATGTAACAAACCTGCATGTTCTGCACATGTACCGTAGAACTTAAAGCATAATAATAATAATTTTAAAAAAGTTAAAAAAATAAGACAACCTCTCAGAGAAGCAATAAAAATAGAAAACTTTAGGCCAACATTCTTGATGAACATCAATGCAAAAACCCTCAATAAAATACTGGCAAACAGAATTTAGCAGCACGTCAAGTTGCTTATACACCATGAACAAGTTGGTTTTATCCCTGCAATGCAAGTTTGGCTCAACATATGCAAATCGATAAGTGTCATTTGTTGCACAAACAGAACTAAAGATAAAAAAAGTGATTATTTCAATAGATGCAGAAAAGGCCTTCACTAAAATTCGGCATCCCTTTATGTTAAAAGCTTTTAATAAACTAGGTATTGAAGGAACATACTACAAAATAATAAGATCTATATACGACAAACTCACAGCCAATATCACACTGAATGGGCAAAAGCTGGAAGCATTCTCCTTGAAAACAGGCACAAGACAAGGATGCCCTCTCTCATTACTCCTATACAACATAGTATTTGTTGTTCTGGCTGGACAATTAGGCAAGAAAAAGAAATAATGCATATTCAAATAGGAAGAGAGGAAGTCAAACTACCTTTGCTTGCAGATTACGTGATCATATATCTAGAAAACCCCATCATCTCAGCCCAAAAGCTTCTTAAACTGATAAGCAACTTCTGCAAAGTCTCAGGATACAAAATCAATGTGCAAAAATTGCTAGCGTTTCTATTCACCAATAACAGGCAAGTAGAGACAAATCATGAATGAACTCCAAATCACAATTGCTGCAAAAGAATATGATACCTAAGAATACAGCTAACAAGGAAAGTGAAGGACTTCTTCAAGGAAAGCTACAAACTACTCAAAGAAATCAAATAGGACACAAACAAATTGAAAAAAAATCCATGCGCATGGATAGGAAGAATCTTTATCGTGAAAATGACCATACTGCCTGAAGTAATTTATAGAAATTACAAGGGTTTTGAAGGTTTTGAACATTTCAGATGAAAACACTAAAAGCAACTGCAATAAAAGCAAGAATTGACCAGTGGAATCTAGTTACCTAACAAGCCTCTGCACAGCAAAAGAAACTATCATCAGAGTGAACAGACAACGTACACAAGGGGAGATAATTTTTGCAATCTATCCATCTGACAAAGGTCTAATATCCTGTGTACAAGGAACTTAGACAAATTTACAAGAAAAAAAATTAAAAAGTGGGCAAAGGACATGACCAGAGACGTCTCAAAAGAAAAACATTCATGCAGTCAACAAACATATTAAAAATAGCTCAACATCACTGATCATTAGAGAAATACACATCAAAACCACCATGAGATACCATCTCACGCCAGTCAGAATGGCAATTATTAAAAAGTCAAGGAACAACAGATGCTAGCTAGCTTGCAGAGAAAAAGGAATGCTTTCACACAGTTGGTAGGAATGTAAATTAGTTCAACCTTTGTGGAAGACAGTGTAGCAACTCCTCAAAAACCTAGCAGAAATACCATTTGACACAGCAATCCCATTAGTGGGTGTGTTAGTCAGGGTTCTCTAGAGGGACAGAATAGGATAGATTTATACATGAAGGAGAGTTTATTAAAGAGTATTGGCTCGCAGGATCACAAGGTGAAGTCCCACAATAGGCCATCTGTAAGCTGAGGAGCAAGGAAGCCAATCTCAGTCCCAAAACCTCAAAAGTAGGAAAGCTGACAATGCAGCCTTCAATCCGTGGCCAAAGTCCTGAGAGTCCCTGGCAAACCACTTGTGTGAGTCTAAGCATCCAAAAGCTGAAGAACTTGGAGTCTGATGTTTGAGGACAGGAAGCATGCAGCATGGAAGAAAGATGAATGTTGGAAGACACAGCAACTCTGCTCTTTCCAATTTCTACCTGCTTTATTCTAGTCACACTGATTAGATGGTGCCTGTTATGATTGGGGGTGGGCCTGCCTCTCCCAGTCCACTGACTCAAATGCTAATCTCCTTTGCAACACTCTCACAGACACACCCAGGAATAATGCTTTGCATTTTTCGATTCAATCAAGTTGCCGCTCAGTATTAACCATCAAACTGGGTATATACCCAAAGGAATATAAAGCATTTTATTATAAAGATACATGCACGCATATGTTCATTGCAGCACTATTCACAATAGCAAAAACATGGAATCAACCCAAATGCCCATCAATGATAGATTGAATAAATAAAATGTGGTACATATACACCATAGAATGCTATTCGGCCACGAAACGGAACAATATCATGTCCTTTGCAGGGACATGCATGGAGCCGGAAACCATTATTCTCAGTAAACGAATGCAGGGATAGAAAACCAAACACAGCATGTTCTCACTTAAAAGTGGGAGCTGAATGATTAGAACACATAGACACGTGGTAGGGAACAACACACACTTGGGCCTGTTGGGGGATGTTGGGGGAAAGGAAAGCAAAAAAATAAGAGCTCTTTTCAATATGGGAGAATTAAGAAAAAACAGAAACACAAACACAGACCGAGGGGAGAAATATCCTCAGGGAAGACCTTATCAGTAATTACTTTAAAATATAAATGGTTTAATATACTCAAATAACATAGATGAGTAGAATAGATTAAAATTATGATCTAAATATATGCTGTGAGCAAAAGACTCACTTTGGATCTAAAGACACAAAAAGGTTGAAAGTGAAAAGATGGAAAAAGATATTCTATGCAAATAGTATATTAGATTATTTATTTGCAAGCATTTTGTGTTTCCTTTAGGTGGTGAGGGCTGCACACTGGCAGCTGCCTGCTCAGTGATTGGTGTGGGCTCTGATATTGGTGGTAGCATTCGAATGCCTGCTTTCTTCAATGGTATATTTGGACACAAGCCTTCTCCAGGTAATGTTAATATGATTGGAAGGGGGGTTCTACTTTTATAATTCAGAGCAATTCAGAAATTTTGTTCCTAGCAGGATTATCTTACTTATCAGGGTGATTATTACATATTTCTCAATGTACTTAAATAAAACTAGGTACTGTTTATTGAGCACCAACTCTGGGATTGGTGCACAAAATTGTGCAAGAGTCTCCTATAACTAATTTCATTTAATACTTATAGTAGTTGGGTTTTTTTTTCAGAAAGATATCCCCAGTTTACAAATGACAAATTCAAAGCTCAGAAAGATTAAATAAACCTACCCCAAATTAAATAGTTAAACAAGTAAATCATAGTGCTAGGATTCAAACCTACTTGGATTACAGGAGACTGTTTTCTATCCACTGTACTAAAATGACTTATCAGGTAAATTTGATTTTCCCTCATTTAAAGGGCAAAACAACACAATTTCAGAAACAGTGGAAAGAAAAAGTAAAATTCTGTCACCTAGAAACTCTAGTTATTGGCATTTACTGTTTTTTCAATGAATTCAAGGAGTATTTATTTTGTATTATTTATGATGGTAAGAATGTTAAAGCAGAGTCCCTTCATTCAAGGAACTTAAAATCTTCTAGACTTACAAAAAGTGATTTAAAGGTAATATAAGGTAGTCTAATAAATAGAATTGTGGTATAGTAAAGCAGAACATTTTGAAATTTAGATTAATCATAAAAATATGCTAAGAATAAATCCTCATTTGGTCATGGTTTTTAGGAATCAGCATTATAATAATGGTCCATATACACCATGGAATACTATGTAGCCATGGAAAAGAACAAGATAATTTCCTTTGCAGGAACATAGATGGAGCTGGAGGCCATTACCCTTAGCAAACTAACACAGGAACGGAAAACCAAATGCGATGTATTTTCACTCATAAGTGGGAGCTAAATGATGAGAACATGGGAACACATAGAGGGGGACAACAAGCACTGGGGACCTTTCAGAGGACAGAGGGTGGGAGGATGGATAGGATCAGGAAAAATAACTAATGGGTACTAGGCTTAATACCTGGGTGATGAAATAATCTGTAGAACAAACCCGCATGACACATGTTTACCTATGTAACAAACCTGCACATCCTGCACATGTACCCCTAAACTTAAAAGTTTTTAAGAAAGATAAATCCTGGCTCTTCATGACTTTAAAGAATTATGCACAAAAAGAGTACTGAAAATTGGCCTGCTAGGAGTTGACCTATTTTTTATCCCTTCTATATTTTATTCTAGGTTCAGGGGGTACTTATGCAGGCTTATTACATGGGTAAATTGTGTGTCCATGTGGTTTGGTGTACAAATGATTTCATCATTCAGGTAGTGAGCACAGTCCCTGATAGGTAGTTTTTTGATCCTTGCCCTCCTCCCATCCTCCACCTTTAAGTAGGCTCTGGTTTCTATTGTTTTCTTCTTTCTGTCCATGTGTACTCAAGGTTTAGTTCCACTTACGAGTGAGAAGATGCGGTAGTTTGTTTTCTGTTCCTGTGTTAATTAGCTTAGGATAATGGCCTCCAACTGCATTCATATGGTTGCAAAGGAACATTTTATTCCATTTTATGGCTGCATAGTATTTCATGGTGTAAATATACTTCATATTCTTTATTCAATCCACTGTTGATGGGAAGCTGGATTGATTCCATGTCTCTCCTATTGTGAATACTGCTGTGATAAACATATGAGTTCATGTGTCTTTTTGGTAGAACAATTAATTTTCCTTGGAGTATATATCTGGTAATGGGATTACTGATTTAAATGGCAGTTCTAAGTTATTTGAGATATCTCCAAACTCCTTTCCAAAGGGCTGAACTAATTTACATTCTTACCAACAGTATATAAGCATTCTCTTTTCTCTGCAGTCTCATCAGCATCAGTTATTTTTCGATTTTTTCAATGATTGCCATTCTGACTTGTGTGAGACAGTATCTCATGGTGGTCTTTATATGCATTTCTGTGATGATTAGTAATATTGAGCATTTTTATAGGTTTGTTGGCTGCTTGTACATCTTCTTTTAGAAGTGCCTGTTCATGTCATTTGCTCACTCTTTAATTGATTATTTACTTTTTGCTGGTTGATTAAGTGTCTTATAGATTCTGGATATTAGACTTACGTTGGTTGCATGGTTTCCAAATATTTTCTCCCATTCTGTAGACTGTATGTTTACTCTTTTGATAATTTCTTTTGCTACGCTGTAGCTCTTTAGCTTAATTAGGTCCCACTTGTCAAATTTTCTTTGAAATTGCTTTTGGAGACTTAGCCATAAATTCTTTGCTAATCCAGTGACGAGAAGGGTATCTCCTAGGCTTTCCTCTAGTGTTTTCATAGGTTGGGATCTTATGTTTAAATCTTTAATTTATATTTGGTTAATTTTTGCATATGGTGAAATGTAGGGATCCAGTCATATTTTTCTGCATATGGCTGGCCAGTTATCCCAGCACTATTTATTGCATAGGAAGTCGTGCTCCCCTTGCTTTTGTAAATTTTGTCTAAGATCAGATCGTTGTAGGTTTGTAGTTTTATTTCTGGGATCTCTATTCTGTTCCATCGGTCTATGTATCTGTTTTTATACCAGTTTCATGCTGTTTTGGTTACGTTAGTTGTATAATACAGTTTTAAGTTGGGTAAAGTGATTTATTTGCCTTTGTTTTTCCTTAGGATTCCATTGGCTATTCAGATGTTTTATTGGTTCCATATGAGTTTTAGAATAGCTTTTTAAAAAAAAATTCCATGAAAAATAACAGTATTTTGATAGGGATAACATTGAATATGTAAATTACTTTGGAAAGTATGGCAATTTTAATGATATTTATTCTTCCAATCCATGATAATGGAATATCTGTTTGTTTCATCTCTAATAATTTTTCAGCAGTATTTTGTTGGTCTTTTTGTAAAGATGTTTCACCTCTTTGGTTAGTGGTATTTCTAGATATCGTAGTTTTGGTGTGGCTATTGCAAATAGGATTGCATTTTTTATTTGGCTCACCAAGAATATTACTGTAGTGTAGAAATGCTACCGATTTCTGTACATGAGTTTTGTATTCTGAAACTTTACTAAAGTCATTTATCAATTCTGGGAGCCTTTTGGGAGAGTCTTTTTGAATCATATTGTCAGCAGAGAGAGATTGACTTTGTCTTTTTCCTATTTGAATGTCCTTTATTTCTTTCTCATGCCTAAATGCTCTGGCTGGGACTTCCAGTATTATGTTGAATAGGAGTGATGAGACTGGACACCTTTGTCTTATTGCAGATCTCAAGGGGAATTATTCTGTCTTTTGCCCATTCAATATGATGTTGGCTGTGGGTTTATCATAATTAGCTCTTATTATTTTGATGTATGCTCTTTTGATGACTAGCCTTATAGGGTTTTTATCATGAAGGAATGTTAGATTTTATTGAAGTCTCTTTCTGAATCTATTGAGATGATTATATCTTTTTTGTTTTAAATTCTGTGTATGTGGTAAATCACTTTTTTTAAAATTTGCTTATGTTGAATTAACATTGCATTCCAGGAGTAAAGCTTACTCAACTGTTGTGAATTAACATTTTGATGTGCTGCTGAAATAAGTTTGCTAGTATTTTGTTGAAATTTTTTCTGTCTGTATTCATCAGTCCTGACTTTTGTTGTTGTTGTTGTGTCTCTGCCAGATTTTGGCATCAGGATGATGCTTGATTTCTAGAATGAGTTAAGGAGCATCCTCTCAATTTTTTTTTTTTTTTTTTTTTGAGAGGGAGTCTCGCTCTGTTGCCCAGGTTGGAGTGCAGTGGCACGATCTCGGCTCACGGCAACCTCCACCTCTCGGGTTCATGCCATTCTCCTGCCTCAGCCTCGTGAGTAGCTGGGACTACAGGCGCCCACCACCATGCCCAGCTAATTTTTTTGTATTTTTAGTAGAGACAGGGTTTCACCATGTTAGCTAGGATGGTCCCAATCTCCCAACCTCGTGATCCGCCAACCTCGGCCTCCCAAAGTGCTGGGATTACAGGCGTGAGCCACCGTGCCCGGCTTCAATTTTTCCTTTTTTTCGGGGTGGGGGGGATCGTTTCAGTAGTATTGGTACCAGGTTTTCCTCTTTCTTTCTCTTTCTTTCTTTTCTTTCTTCCTTTCTTTCTCTCTCTCTTTCTCTCTTTCTCTCTATCTCTCTCTCTTCTTTTCTTTTCTTTCTTTCTCCCTTCCTTCCCTCCTTCCTTCCTTCCTTCCTTCCTTCCTTCCTTCCTTCCTTCCTTCTCACTTCTATTTCTTTCTTTCTTTCTTTCTTTCTTTCTTTCTTTCTTTCTTTCTTTCTTTCTTTCTTTCTTTCTTTCTTTCTTTCTTTCTTGCACTTCTGGTAAACTTCAGCTGTGAATCCATCTGGTCGATGGCTTTTTTGCATTGGTAGGTTTTTTTAAATTATTGAATTAATTTCAAAGCTTTTTTGTCTTTTCGAGGTTTCTCTTTTTTCCTGGTTCAATCTTCAGAGGTTGTGTGTTTTCAGAAATGTATCTATTTTATCTAGATTTTCTAATTTCGTGTCCATAGAGGTGTTCATAATAACCACTGAGGATCTTTTGTATTTCTCTAGGATCAGTTGTAATTTCACCTTTGTCATTTCTGATTGTATTTATTTGGACTTATTTTTTTTTTCTTTGTGAATCTAGCCAGCAGTCTATCTTATTTATTCTTTCAAAAAAGAAACTCTTGGTTAAACTGATATTTTGTACGAACTTTTGCATGTCAATTTCATTTGTTCTACCCAATTATAGTTATATATTTTCTACTGCAAACTTTGAGTTTGGATTGTAATTTACTTTCTAGTTCCTTTGGGTGTGATCAGATCATTAATTTTAGATCTTTCTAACTTTCTGATTCAGGCTTTTAACATTTTAAACTTTTAACAGTGCATTACCTGAATCACAAAGATTTTGTTAAGTTATTTTTTATTATCATTAACTTATAATAATATTTTGATATATGCCTTAATTTCATCATTAACCCAAAAGTTATTCAGGAAGACATTATTTAATTTCCACATATTTGTGAATTTTTGAAATATTTTATTTATATTGGTTTCTATATTTTTTGTACTCTGATCCAAGAGTGTGTTTGGTATGATTTAAATTTTTTTGAATTTATTGAGACTTGCTGTAATACCAAACTTGTGGTCAATCTTAGAATACGTTCCATGTGTGGATGAGAGAAATGTATATTCCATGATTGTTGGGTGGACTATTTTGCAGATGTCTATTAGGTACAATTGGTCAAATGTTAATGTTATATCCTTCATTTCTTTGTTAGTTTTCTGCCTCAAAGATCTGTCTAAGGCTGTCAGTGGGGTTTTGAAATCTCCAACTATTATTGTGTGGCTAAGTTTTTTTCTTAGGTCAAAAAGAACTTGTTTTGTGAATTTGAGTGCTACAAATGTATATATAAGATAATTCAGTCTACTTGGTAAATTGAATCCTCTATCATTATATAATGCCCTTCTTTATCTTTCCTGATTGTTGTTGGTTTAAAATCTGTTTTATCTTATAAAAAGATAGGAACTCCTGCTTTTCTTGTTTGCTATTTGCATGGTAAGTTTTTCTCCATCTCTTTACTTTGAGCCGAAAGTGTTGTTACATGTGAGAGAAATTCCTTGAAGACAGCAGATGGTTGCCTTTTTAGTTTGGCATTTAGACCATTTACATTTAGGGTTAGTATTGATGGATGAGATTTTGATTCTGTACTCATGTTGTTAGCTAGTTGTTTTATAGTATTCATTGTGTAATTGCTTTATATCATCTGTGGGCTGTTTGCTTGAATTGTT